ATACCCTCTCTAGCTTTTTGTTTGGAAGTTTTCCTGTTCCTGTGGCATGAACTTTGAGGCTATTTCCTGTGTCACGTATTCTGACCTGAGCCCAGGTGTGCCTCTCTGGTATTACTTGATGGTAATGGTTAGTCCTATTATGTCCCAAAAGTCATCTGCTTCCCTGGGGATGGGGCTAATGACTCTTAAGAGTTTCTTTGCCTTGAGCTCCCTGGCTCCAACCTTCCTGATGGTCTTACATCTGCATTTGTATAAAGCTAGCTACTGCTTAGGGCATTTGTATAAGGCTAGCTACTGCTTAGGTTTGGTTTCTGCTTTTCAAAAAATGCTTTAAAAAATCCTTTTGGTGAAAAATATTTTTTTTCTGCCTTTTTAATATTTCTTTCTCTGGGGTAACTTCCCACACTTCCCTTGAGTAGTAACTAAGTTCGGAAAAAATTAAGGCGTGCCCTAGTTCATCTCAAGCTATGGTTACTTGGGTACTTCAAGATACATTATTGTATGAAAAGTTATACAATTAAGCATCAGATTACAAAAACAAAATCCAGAGACTATGTAATATATATTGAAATAATATATCACCTTGTTGGCTCAAAATTCTTTAATCTTCTCTATTTAAAAAAAGATGTTACTGTGGTAACATCTTTTTCTGCCAAATATATTCCAAGCAGGGAATTATATAATGGCTGATGAAGAGAAGGTAGATGGCTGAAAGAATTAGTTCAGCTCTAAGTTGATGCTCTCCAAATATAGCAGTACTGTCCATCAAATATCTAAAGGCAGTTATGAAAGGATGTTCTAATAAGAGATATTAAAGATTACAGCCACTATTCATTCAAGTTGTATGGTGATGGTAACTTGGTAAATACTGTTTTATGTACCACTTAAATATTCTTTCAACCACTTGATGTTCCATTATGTTACCCATTTGGGGGGGTGGGGAAGGAAATCACATCATCTATTTTTTTTAAATCCTGACAACCCAAATAAAACAACTGAACCTAAAAAAAAATTCAAATCACTCTAATTGCACTGAGAAAAAGGTCCTTTTCAGAAAGCACTGAACACAACAAGATGAATAATAAATTAAAGGACAATTGCAGGGATAAAAGGGTTGACTTATCTTCTTGGCATTCTGAATAAAACCATCTTGCAATTAGTGCCTCAGAATTCTATGTGGATATTCACAGATTATAGTGACTCCAGGTTGTTTTGTTCAGTTTCAATAAACTGGCTTTGGTTCTCAAAATAGCCCACAAATTATTCCTGAAAACAGCAGATTCCAGAAAGCTTTGCTTGCTGCTAGAGAAGACATCATCTTCAAATGTTCTTATAGTTGGGAACTGAACAAACAGTAGCACTTGAAAGCAAAGTCAACTATGCTAGACTACACACTGAGCTTTAAAAAGATATTCTGAGGCCAAAACTCTGCACAGAAATAGGTTAGTAGGATTTTTACTCAGAGCTTCAATTTGTTGTCATATTCACACCCCAGTATAATAAATATACCGAATAGAAATAAATAAATAAACTAGAAAGTTGGGGAAAATAACTTGTTTATATTAGAATGTAACATCAAAGAATCAGGCCAAGCTAAGAATCCGGGAGCAAACCATTTTATAACGGCTTGCAAATAATTTCCCAAGGCAAACTAAAATAATTAGATTGGACTGTGGATATTTTAGTCTACATAAAATCTTGAAGGGTCAAAAATAATGTAGGATGTGTGTATGTTCTAATTTACCCCATTACTTTATAAAGCCCATCATGATTTAATTCCCTCAAACTCAATGCAGATTCTGGTAGACATTGAATATTATCAAACATGAAAGCTCATTCAATTGCATACCATATATCAATAATTCCAAGGTAGGCTGGAAATAAGCCTGCCACCCCATCCTAGCCCTACCAAGGGAGATGCTGATTCTGGATTTAAAGTTAATGTGCTGCTCCATTAGAATGAACCATGGTTTACATTTTATGGAAGTGCAAGTACAAGTGATCACTGCAAAGAATGTTTCCTTTCCATTTTGTTCTAAATCACTAAAGTTTGCTTATGTCACCAAGTATGTCCCAGGTCACTGCATGACAAAGTCATCCTTAAAAGGTTTGGTACTATTATTTTCTTTTCAATAAAAGGCACACTGTAATTGGTTGTAAAAACATCTGACCAGCAAAAGGTGCTATAACAATTTGATCCCTAAAGTGGCAAATCCTGTCTCTTAATTTCTCCCCCACCTCCCCTAACTGTTGCCCCTTGCTCAAGGTGTGCCTCAAACATACCATTTAAGATTAAAAACATTTTTTTTCTGAAAATGAAAGCAGGTTCAAGTATCAAATCAAAGACATCAAAGAAGGCATACAAGCTGGCAGCTTAATGTGTACATTTTACGGGATGTTTTTATAGTTACAAAGGCAGCCTTTTGCAGGATAGTAAGTAATAATAAATAGGATACTTTGATACCCTCAGTTTGCTCAATAAATTAAGGTTTATATAGCTGTGCAATTTGTATGGCTTCAAAATTAAATAAAAATAAAGTGAATGTTGAATAAGAGCTTTTCTTATGAAATTTGCTTCATATAAAGTACTTGTTCATACTGCCATGTTTGTGTTCATTGCCCAAAATAGACAGCCCTCCTCTGCTCCTCCTCCTGCACAATAAAGCAGGGCATCTTTTAAAAGAGTCTGGCACCC